TATAGTTCTAAAACTGATGTAAAAACTCTAGTTCTGTTCTAGCACATCTTCAGAAAATATAAATTTGAAAAAGCAAAAAAAAAAAAAAAAAAATGCTTGTTGGAAGCAAGCCAGGCATTCTTCAAATATTTGTAACTCCACCTGAGGGATCCAATGACCTCTTCTGACATAGATGCACACAACTGTGTGCACCCACACACACGTGAGCATACACTCACACAGAAACACACACACCAACAATAAATAAAAAATTTTAAATGGTTTATATTATATAAATTTCATCTAAAAAAGATCTAAAAAGTGATACTGACTTTGTGAATAGTTTGACAGCCTACCAGGGACAAAATGAGCAAAAACAATCACCTTCATCAGTATTATTTCTTTAAAATCAAGAAGTAAGTACATAATGAATCTCTAGAAAAGCACAGTCATTTCCACATAAAATTATTTGCCTAAATAACATATTTAAATAGAGTTTCTAAAACATTGTTCTTTTAAAAGCAGCATACCATCACATGTGTGGTGAAGCCCTCAGTAGAGTGTGGTTGAGGGTGGAGTACTTCATTTGACTCTGCCTTTCTGCAAACCACTGGAGGAGCAGGTTTGGCTCTGGAGTCGCCATTTTTAACATTATTTTTGGAAGTTTTTCTTTATAAAGAAGAAAAGAAAGGGTTATTATCAACATGGTGGCCTTTTTTTGTTTGTTTTTGGGAACTCACTATGTAGACCAGGCTGGCTTCAATCTTACAGAGATCCACCTACCTCTGTCTCCCAGAGTGCTAAGATTAAGCTGTGTACCACCAGGCCCAGCTATGATTAATGGCTTTAAAGCATATATGAAATGTGTGGATACATTACACTTCCTTATAGAACTGCATCATTTCACATAGCACAGTCTTCACAATCTAGGGGACGTTTTCTTTTAAATAATGAAGGTCATAAGAAACAAAGAAAAAACTGAACTATCATATACCCAGGAGAGGTTAGGGAAACTTGAGAACTAAATGTAATACAGTACCTTGGACTGAACCCTGGAACATCAAATGGAAACATTAAAGGAAAAACCAGCAAAAGTCGATGAAAGTCTGAGGTTAATCAATAGAAATATACCAACGTTGGCTGGTTTCTTAGTTTAAATTTTTTTCAATTAAAAGATATTTTAAAATTTATTTTAATTAATTAATTTTTTATGTGTATGAGTGTTCTATCTGAATGTAAATACACCTCCATCATGCAATGACTGTGGAGGCCAAAAGGGGGTGTTGGATCCCCTGGAACTGGAATTATGAATAACTGTTAGCTGCCATGTAGATGCTGGGAACTGAACCAGGGTCCTCTAAAAGAACAGCCAATGCCCTTAATCGCTAAGCCATCTCTCCAGCCCAATTTACTTATTTTTATTTTACATGTATGAGTATTCTGCAAGCATGTATGTAAGTGGGCCCATGTCACACAATGCCCATAGAGGCCAGAAGAGGGCATCAGATCCCCAGGAACTGGAATTACAGATGGTTGTTAGCCACCATGTGGGTGCTGGGTCTGCCTGCAGGATCCTTCTGCCTCTGGCTTGTGGAACATGTTCCACAAATGAAAACAGGTGTTGTTCCTCTTTGCATGTTTGTAAAAGTCTGGTCTTGTCAAGCCCAATCATTCACGTACATTTTTTTCCGTTTCTTTTTTTAAAAAATATTTTATTTGCTGGATGTGGTGGTGCACACCTTTAATCCCAGCACTTGGGAGGCAGAGGCAATATCTGTGAGTTCAAGGCCAGCCTGGTCTACTTAGTTCGTTAAATGCTAGCTAGTGCTACAGGGAGATCCTGTCTCAAAAAACAAAACAAAACAAAAAAATATATATTTATTTATTTATTATGTTTATTGTATGTGTATGAGTGTATTGCCTGCATGTATGTAAGTGCACCCATGTCATGTAATGTCCATGGAGGTCAGAAGAGGGAGACAGATTTCCTGGAACTGAAGTTATTGACAGTTGTTAGCTTCCATGTGGGAACCAAATCCAGTTCCTCTACATGAGCAGCCAGTGCTCTTAACCATTTAATGGAGCCATTTCTCCAGCCTGTTTTTTGTTTTGTTTTCTATGACAGGACTTCACTATGTAGCCCTGGATGGCCTGGAACTCGCTATGTAGCACAGGCTGGCCTCAATCTCCCAAAGATTCTTCTGCCTCTGCCTCCTGAGTGCTGTATTAAAGGAGTGAGCCACCATACCCAGCTTCCAGTTCCATTTTCTTTTTTATTACATTTATTAAGTCAGGGGGGGGCACACATGCATGTGTAGAAGTCAGAAGAAAACTTCTGAGCATCAGTTCTCTTTCTACCATGTAGAGTCCAGGGATTCAACTCAGGTTGTCAGGCTTGGCAGCAAGCTCCTTTACCTGCTAAGCCATCTCACCAGCCCCTCTCAATGGTTATTTAGATTTCTGATTTCAGCAGTTATACAAACTTCAGTATTTTCTTTATTCTGTTTCTGTGGAACTAGGAATTAAGCCCAGGGCCTTGTACACAAACGGCAAGCAACTCTACCACTAAGCTAATTCCCAGGCTATTTTTAACTTGGGGACAAGGTCTTACTAAGAAGCCCAGCATGACTTGAATTCACCATTACCTGGGCAGGCCTTTTACTTGTGGCTCTCCTGTCTTTGTCTTGAGAAGCTAGGATTGTAGGCCTGTGCCACCAGATCTACAACCTGTATTTGGAAGGTGCCAGAATTTGTCACTCTAAAATATGTGACTTTGGCATAAGGATTATTTTTAACTACAAGTACCTAAAAACCAGCAGGCATAGCCAAGAGTGGTGGTCCAAGCTTATAATCCCAGCACTTTGGAGGCAAAGACAAGTAGATCAGTTATTCAAGGCCTGCCTGAGTTGCCTAGCAAGTTCTAAGGCAGTATGGGTTACATAACACATAAGACCCGTCTTAAAAAAACAAAATTTTTTTTAAAAAGCAGCATAACATGGACTAAGGTCCTGAGTTAGATACTTAGCACTACAAAACAAACAACAACAACAAAAAAAACAGTAAGTAAGGCTGGGGGTATAACTCAGTGGTGGTGCATGCCTTAATCCCAGCACTTGGGAGGCAGAGGCAGGCGGATCTCTGTGAGTTCAAGGCCAGCCTGGTCTACATAGTGAGTTCCAGGACAGCTGGGGCTACAGGGAGCCCCTGTCTCAAAAAGCCAAAAAAAAAAAAAAAACAACAAGAAAGCAAGAAGTCCAAAAAGGACAGGAACGAGTGTGGCGTGCTGATCTCCTGCTGCTAGAGAGAAGGCTCAGAAGTGAAGAGCACTGGCTGCTCTTGCAGAGGATCTGGGTTCGATTCCCAGCAACCACAAGGTGGCTAATAATCATCGTAACTCCAGATGCCCTCTTCTGACCTCTGAGGGCATTGCATGACATAGGTGCACTTGCATGCATGTAGGCAATGTACTCATACACATAAAATAAAAATAATAAATAGTTTTTAAAAAAGAGAATGCAAACCTGATGCTCTAGGATCAGGGATCACTTTCTTTCAGGGGGATAGCCACTAGTAATTTGCCCATGATCTAGTAAATTACCCCCTACACAGAAAATGCAGGCAACTCTAATTAAACTTTTTTTACAAAAAAGGGGAGGATTGGAAAGGATTCCAGGGGGAGCAGAAAGGGGATAGAGGGGAGTGGGGTAAATATGGTCAAGTACATCATACACATGTGTGAAATTGTCAAAAAAATTATTATTTTTAAAAAAGAATGGAAAGTTGAGGCAGAGAGAATTGTGCTAAGTGGATCTTATTAGAGAACCCAAACCTTCCCTCAACCTCTCCATACAGTTTCTTCTGCACAGCTGCCTCGTGTCCTTCCTAGTATAAATACATTTAGGTTTTACTACTTTCTGGGTCTTAACTTCTTTATAAGACTTACTTTATTTAAGAAACAAAGTTTTTGATAAATAATTTTTCTTCTATTAATTCCTTATGTTAGTGAAATTCTGAGGCCCAGGTCAAAGCACTGAGGGGTAAACTTTTGCCTCCTTACAGATTCTAGGCATGCACCTTACTTCATGTTTAAAAGAACTCACCATAAATTTTTGCATATGAAAATGGAGAAGCTGCCCTCTTTTACCCCATCTGCTTAGCCTAGCTATTTGGAAAGGAAGTATCTTACGCCTTTGTGGCCTCCAAAAATAATGAGATTTGGTGTTTTATGTAGGGCTGCCTCAGGATGCTCCTCACAGAGGGTCTCTCCTCAGGCCTTCTGCTTAGCATTGTTCTGATCAGCTCTGCCAGCTCCGGGCTATAAACTCTTGGCATTGGTGGCAACTACAAAGAAAAAGAATCTTGTAATGATAATGTTCTTATAAAACAAAGTAAAACATGGCACAGATTTCCCAATGTTTAAATATCATAACATTATATATACATTTTTTTTTTGTTTTGTCTTTTTGAGACAGGGTCTCCCTCTAGCCCCAGCAGTCCTGGAACTCATTATGTAGACCAGGCTGATCTCGAACTCTCAAAGATCCACCTGCCTCTGCCTCCCAAGTGCTGGGATTGAAGGCGTGCACCACCACGCCCGGCTATATATACATTTTTAATATTATTTAAAGCCATATATCCACAGACATAGAAAACAGCTAGCATATTAGCTCTTATATTAGTCTTATAATATAGGGCTGGAGAGTTGGCTCAGTGGTTAAGAGCACTGGCTGCTCCTGCAGAGGACCTGGGCTCAATCCCTAGCACCCACACAGTGGTTAACAACCATCTGTAACTCCAGTTCCAGGGGACTCCAACTTCCTCTTCTGACCTTCAGGCATTGCATAACATGAGTACACTTACACACATGCAGGCAACACACTCACACACATAAAATAAAAATAGTAATTTTTTTAAAAGAAGTATATTGGTATTCTGGCTATGATAACAAGTGCTAAGATTGTAGAAGTATTTCTTTCAGCTCAGCAGTCCCATTTGAGAACTTTCTTTTTTATATATAAGAGCACAAGTTTTTCTTTCTTTTTTCTTTTTTTTTTTGGTCTTTTTTTGAGACAGGGTCTCCCTGTAGCCCCATCTGCCCTGGAACTCACTATGTAGACCAGGCTGGCCTTGAACTCACAGAGATCCACCTGCCTCTGCTTCCCAAGTGCTGGGATTAAAGGCGTGCACCACCATGCCTGGCAAGTTTTTCTTTTTTTTAAAAAAATTTATGCCAGGAATGTTGGCCCATGCCTTTAATCCCAGAACAGAGTTCAAGGTGAGCCTGGTTCACATAGTGAGTTCAAGGCCAGCTGGGGCTACTAGGAGAGCCTGTCTCAAAAAAGACCAAAAAAAATAAAAATAATTTATTATTTGTATTTTATGTGTATGAGTGTTTTGCCTGCATGTATGTAAGTGCACCTGTGTCATACAATGCCTATGGTGGTCAGAAGAGGGTGATGAATCTCCTGGAACTAGTTATGGACAGTTGTTAGCTGCCATGTGGGTGCTGGCATTCGAACCCACATCCTCTATAAGACCAACCAGTGGTCTTAACTGCTGAGCCATCTCTCCAGTCCCTCTTTTTCTTCTTTTAAATTTTATTATTAGAAGCCAGGCATGGTGGTGCATGCCTTTAGTCCCAGGACTTGGGAGGCAGAGGCAGGTGGATCTCTGTGAGTTCAAAGCCAGCCTGGTCTACATAGTGAGTTCCAGGTCAGCTGGGGCTACAGGGAGACCCTGTCTCAAACCCACCCCCAGACCAAAAAAATTATTATTAGAATATATATATGCAGGTGCATGTATTTAAGTCAGAGAACTAACTCAGGTTGTCAGGCTTGTATAGCAAGCACCTTTACCCACTCTACCATCTCACTGGCCCAGGAGCACAAGTTTCTAAAGACCAGAATATTCAGTGCAGTATAGGTCTTGCAGAAGTCAATAATTAGAAACAAAATGTTCATCTACAGGGGACTTATGAAATAAGCCATGTTATGTTATTCATATGAAATACTAGGCCTTGCTTGAAAAATAAAACAACTTAGAAGCACTAACCATTAGGTCCCAAAAGTAAACTGTATACCACTGTATACAGTGTGATTCCATTTTGGTTTCCTTTTTTAAGTACTTGTATATAAGCACCTATACACACCCAGAGTTAAATCTGTTTAAAAGAAAGAAAAGCTAGGAGGTCTTGCAGGTTAGCAGTGATTATCATCAAGACACAAAAATGGAGAAGGACATTTTATTCCTTTTTATTTTGTTCTTTTAGTAGTATAATTGAAAAATTTTACTTGTACACTTTAAAAAATATTTTTCAAATTAAAAAATTAAATGGGGGGCTGGAGAGATGGCTCAACAGAGGACCTGCATTCAATACCCAGCACCCACATGGCAGCTAAAAACTATCTGTAACTCCAGTTCCAGGGGAATCTGATGCCTTCTTCTGACCTCCGCAGGCACTGTATGACACAGGTGCACTTACACACATGCAGGCAATATACTCAAACACATTAAAAAAATAAAAATAGATAAAATAAAATAAATGGGTTCTGGGATAATCTTTAAAACATCCTAAGTGGCTTAGGACCTTAGAACTTAATGGCACACAGACAGCTGTGTTGGTACATGCCTGTAATCCCAGCGAGTGGAGGCTGAGGCAGTAGGATGGTGAGTTTGAGGCCAGCCTGGGCTACATACTGAGATCTTGTCTCAAAAGATAAACAAAACTTAATCAAGTATGGCGGCCCCAAACTGCAAAGGACAACTAGGCTCACAAACACAATATATGAAGTTAGTCTCTCTGGCATCCATGTCTGCATGAAGCCATCCACAGTTCTTAATCAGCAATGATGACAAGCACCAGAGGACAAGTTAAACAGCATGATTCACTGCACACAGGACTGATTCAACCATGGGCCACTTAGAGACACTGCAGCCTCGCCTCTCCGAGCACCTGAACATCTGCAGTTGCAGGGGGAAGTTTCCAAACGGCCAGCTCTTTGGAGCCATTCAGTCACTTTTACAAATTAAGAAATATTAATCTCTTCTCAATTTCAACCTTTCCCACAGAAGGGACCCAATATTCCTAACTATTCATTCTGTTTTAATGATTATTGATCAATTAATCAAAATTGTCAGTGGGAACTTGGAATATAGCTCAGTGGTAGAGTGCTTACCCAGTATGCACAAAATCCTGGGTTTGACCCCTAGCACCAAAAAATAATTAGTATTGATTTTGTCAGTAGGTAGTTACAAAACGGCACTATATAAATCCTGTTCAATTAGTTGTAGATTTTTTTTTTACCTTTCCTTCAATAATCCGATAAACTAAAGAATTCATGTCTTTTGCATTGAAAGCATGCCTCAGGGTGGCCATTTCATAGACACAGCATCCCAAAGCCCAAACATCAGACTACAAGAGAAAAATAGTAAATGGTTAAATGTTGAAATACTTTTACTTACATTTTTCCTCTACACACACCTACTCAGTACACATACACATGCACGCACACACACACACACACACACACACACACACACACACACACACACATTCTTCAAACTGATTCATAGCTAATTCTGCTTTAACTACTCATATGGGCTCTGAGAATCTGAATATGCTCCTGAGACACGGTGAGCCAGCATACACCTTTACAGTCGTATGTGCCCTACCTTATAGTTGTAGGGTTTGTTTGAGAACAACTCAGGGCTCATGTAATAGGGTGTGCCAATGAGGGTGCTTGCCATGTCGCCATGATTCTCCAACACTCGGGCAATCCCTAGGTCACCCACTTTGATGATGTTTGTTCTTGTTAGGAAGACGTTCTGAGTTTTTAGATCTCGATGAAGAATATGTTTCTCATGTAAATACTGAAAAGAGAGATAAAATTTCATTACACATACATATACACATAAGAAATTAGCTGCTGATCTGGCTTATCAGTAATTACATGGGTTAAAAAGCCTTTGTTATCTACCAAGCAAACACCACTGCTCTGTAATATCTAAGAGATCTAATTTACAACCCTCAAAGTAAGAAAATTAAGCTCCAGAGGCTGGAGATATGGCTCAGTTGACAAAATACTTACCACACAAGCATGAGGACCTGAGTTAGACTCGCCACTACTCTGTAAAAAGCCAGGCGTGCTGGCACACACCTATCTGCCTAGCACTGGGAAGGTGAAGACAGAAGCTTGCTGCCTAATCAGTGAGTTCTTGTTCACTGAGAGACACTGTCTCAAAACAGAAGGTGAAAAGCAATAGAGAAAGACATCTAACATTGACCTCTGGCCTCCACACATGCACTCGCACATGTGTGTACACATACATGAATATGTACAAACGCCACACATACAGAGACACAAAGAAAATTAAGTTCCATGTAAGAGTTGGTATGGTACCTTCTGGAATTGTTTCCTGGTACCTTGACAATTGTACCATTTTAGCAGTACATGATATAGTTAAAAAATATGCTTATATCCATCCGGGTGTGGTGGCGCACACCTTTAATCCCAGCATTCCGGAGGCAGAGGCAGGAAGATCTGTGAGACCAGGCCTGCCTGGTCTACATAGCGAGTTCCAGGCCAGCTAGGGCTACAGAGACACCCTGTCTCAAAAAGACCAAAAAGAAAAAAAAAAATATGCTTATAAGACAAGTGTGGTGGTTTAGGTCTATAATCCCAGCATTTGGGAGACTGAGACAGGACTGCTGTGAGTTCAAGATCAGCTTGAGCTACAGAGAGTTCCAGACTACCTTAGACTAAAGTGAGACCACCACCCCCATAAAGGTACAACAACTTACATAAAGTCAGATGTGCATTCCTCTCAGACCTATGAAATCCTAAACTTAACGTTTTTAATTACAACAAAATCATTTTACTTAAGAGAGTAACTGAGGGGTATGGAGAGATAGCTCAGCAGTTAAGACCACTGGCTGCTCTTGTAGAAGACCTGGGTTCAGTTCCCAGCACCCACAAGGTGGCTAACAACTGTCTGTAACTCCAGTTCCAAGGGAGTAGATGTCCTCTTCTGACTTCTGTGGCCATTGCATGACATGGATGCACTTAGATGCATAAGTGCAATACACTCAAACATATAAACTAAAAATAACAAACACCTTTCTAAATGTTTAAAAAAAAGAGCGTATCTGAGAGGATGGTATACTCAGGAGGCAGGTATAGACAGATCTCTTTGAGTTTGAGGCTATCCTGATCTACCTATCAAGTTCCAGACCAGTCAGGGTTATACAGTAACACTATTGAAAGAGAAAAGAGAGAGAGAGAGAGAGAGAGAGAGAGAGAGAGAGAGAGAGAGATCTGAGAATTTAAACAAGGTTAATTAATTTTGTCCAAGTCTGCCTACTTCCTGAGTGATGCTTCAGGTATGTATCACTTTGAGGTATACACGTATTAAAACAAATCTGTTTTGCATTTCCACCCACTCTGCTGAAGCCTACAGTACAGGAATACTAACTGGCCCAGCCAGCTTTCAATGTGACACAGCTGACTGCTGAAAGGACACATAGTCATCCTTTGTTCTCTGTCTACTCAAGGCTCTTAAAATTACGTTGCTATAAATACTAAATGCATGAAGAATTGGCAACTCCTATAATGATACATGAAATCTGTGTCTACTTCAACATAGCGATCACCTACCCAGCAACATTTCCATGCCATAGCAGGAAGGACTGGGTCCAGATTATAAATGGATTTTTAAAAATATTTATTATTTTTATTTTATGTGTAGGAGTGTATTGCCTGCATGTACATGAGTGCACCCATGTTGTGCAATGCTGCGGAGGTCAGAAGAGGGCTTCAGATTCTCCTAGAACTGGAGTTAAGGACGGTTCGTAGTTACCACGTGGGTGCTGGGAATCGAACCCTGGTCCTCTGCAGAAGCAGTCAGTGCTCTTAACCGTTGAGCCATCTCTCCAGCCCCATAAATGGATTTTTTAAAAAGCTTTTTTCGGCTGGGCATGGTGGCACACACCTTTAATCCCAGCACTCGGGAGGCAGAGGCAGGCGGATCTCTGTGAGTTCAAGGCCAGCCTAGTCTACATAGTGAGTTCCAGGACAGCTGGGGCTACAGGGAGACCCTGTCTCAAAAAGACCCCCCCCCAAAAAATTTTTTTTTCATGTAAGCATTTGAGAAAGGTTTCCTAAAATATGTAGATATTATTCTGGGACTGATGACTGTGCTGAGCTGTTCAAATCTGAAAGCAAAGCTGTTTTAGCGTAAAGTAAGCTAGGCTCAGAGCAAGGGCCCTGCTACCTCTAAACAGAACCATGAAGAGTTAACCTTAACAACCCCTGGCTGCAATCTAATTTAGGGCATCCTAACACCACTGTAGAAAATTCCACTCTTTAAAGAGCAGGCTCAGGGATTGTGGAGATGGCTCAGGGTAAAGTGTTGCCTACAGGAGCATGAGGACCTGAGTCTGGATCACCAGCACCCATGTTAAAAACAAAAGACCCATCAGGCATGGAGGCAGAGGCAGGCAGATCTCTGTGAGTTCAAGGCCAGCCTGGTCTACATAGTAAGTTCCAGGACAGCTAGAGCCTACAGGGAGACCCTGTCTCAAAAAGACCAGAAAAAAAAAAAAAAAAAAAATTTTTCTGCTGGGCAGTCAGAGATCTTAACCCAACACACGGTGGGGGTGTGGGGAGAACAGGCAGATCCAGGAGTTCACTGGACAGCTAGCCTAGCTGAATTGGTGAATTCAGTGAAAGATCCTGTTTCAAAAACTAAGGTGGAGCTGGGCCTGGTGGCGCACACCTTTGATCCCAGCACTTGGGAGGCAGAGGCAAACTGATCTCTGTGAGATCAAGGCCATCCTGATCTACACAGTGAGTTCTAGGTCAGCTGGGGCTACAGGGAGACCTGTACCCAAACAACAACACAAAAAAAAACCCTAAATAAACAGGGGCTGGAGAGATGGCTGTTCTTGCAGAAGACCTGGGTTTGAATCCCCGCACCCACATGGTGGCTAACAACCATCTGTAACTGCAGTTCCAGGGGATCTGATGCCCTCTTCTGTCCTCTGTGGATACTGTATGACACAGGTGCACTTACACACATGCAAATAATACACTCATACACATTAAAAAAAAAAACTGAATAAATAAAACAAATAAGGTGAAGAAGCTGTCAAGGAAGACAACCCAATGTCAACCTCTGGTCTGCACATGTGCACACATGAGCAAGTGAACCACACACACACATGCACACACACACACACACACACACACACACACACACACTGCTGGATAGCTTTAGTGTCAACTTGACACACCTGGGTTGAGGGAGCCTCAGTGTGGGAACTGCCTCCATTGGACTGGCCTGTGGCCATGTCTGAAGGGCATCTTCTTGATGAGTGATGTGGGAGGGCCCAGCCCACTGTGGGTGGTGTCACCCCTGGGC